GTAACTATTTTAAAAATTATTAATAAAGATATGAGCAAGGCCTCACCTTAACACCAAAAAAAAAAAAAAAAAAATTTTCTTTTATTAAATAATATTTAATTAAATTATATTGAAAAAATAATATTAAATAATTGTAATATTAATATTCAAAAAATTTTAAAGGCTATAAAATAAGCTTGCTTCACTTTTGACAATGCTTGCTTATCTTTTTGAAATACTAAAATATTCTCTTCATTTTCTATTTTCTGATTTTGTGAACTATCTTTATCAGTTTTAATTATTTCTTTAAAATTCGATTTATCTAATTTGCTAAATCTTGAAAGTAAAAAAGAGATATTATTTTTTATATCTAATTTGAGAAAATTTTCACAATAATAATATTTTTCATTCAATAAGTAAAACAGCTCTCATAGTATTCATGACCACATACAATAACTATGAAACTTTTATCTGTCACGTCATATAATAATTCATGACAATGATTATATTTGTCATATGATAGCAAATGCTCACTGCTGAACTCTAATAATATTTGTTTTTTGTTTACAATAATATTTAGTGATATTAGTTTATAGATAATTTTCTTATTTAGACCTTTAATGATAAAGCTTTATCCTAATCTTTGGTAAATCTTTAATCTTACCAAAGGTTTCATGAAAAAACACTTGTACCTTTTTTTGTTAATAAATTCATATTATCTTTATCTGTATATGTAGACTTTTTCTGAATAACAAATGTATTTTCAAATATATTAATAGCCTTTCTGGCATTAATGATCTTGATAATCTTAAAAAGTTGTTGTAGAGTATTAGTAGAAGAACTTTGTTGTCATATTATGCTATGTATATTTTTAATAGAATAGTCTGTAAACTTAAATAAATAATCTTTTAGTACATTTAATATTAGATAATTGTTTTAACTTCAATAAAATATATCTAAAAGAAATACTAAAGATGCTTTATTATAATTATGCTTTTCAAACCACAAAAAAATATACTATATCTAAAATATATCTTTGATATATGATTTCCAATCTCTAGATCAAAATAAAGTTAAATATATATCTAATATAATTAGCACTGTATTGTTTAATAATTCAAATAGAAACAAAAATTCAATATCTTTACAATATTTACCAAATTTACCTATTACTATCAGCTTAATTTCTTTCTAAGCACTTCTGACTAGCTTCAAAAATACAAATATTCAATACAGGCTTGGTGTTTGGTTAAGTGCTTTACTCGTACTAAATATGTATTTGTATTCTATATTAAAAAAAATTCAATAGATCTTTAATATAGTGTTATAGAACAATTTATTATTTTATTAGTTTATTATTCTGATATTGTATTTTATTATTTATTTTATTATTATTATTTAGTCTTATTTAATTATTATTATTAGAGTAGAATTTAGCAAACAAGTAGCATGCTTAATGATTAGCGATTATGCTTAACGATTAACGATTAGCGATTACACTTAACGATTAATGATTAGCGATTATGCTTAACGATTAACGATTAGCGATTACACTTAACGATTAACGATTAGCGATTACACTTAGCGATTAACGATTAGGGATTAACGATTAACGATTAGCAATTACACTTTACGCTTAGCACTAAGTAAATTACGCTTAGCTGCAATGATTAGCGA